GGGGGGGGGGGCATGAGGGGGGGGGGGTATTGGGGCTGTGGCTAGGCCGCACACCTGCGGGACTGGGGTTCAGGGTGCCGAAAAGGGGATAATCTCTTGTGTGGGACGCAGTTTCGTCACGCAAACTGAGCAGGGGTTTGGGGGTCTCTGGTGACTCTTATGTTGTTGCTACGCTGTTGTTCTTTGCAAGGAGAGCCTGCCTGGTGCAGATTTGATCCGCCGCCAAAGCAATGGGCTGCATGAGTGCAACGAACCGTCGCCCCCAGCCCCCAACTCTGGCGCCAGTACAGACGCATACCCTCCCGCCGCACACCGCGGCGCCCGCAGGTCATCGGCAGCGCGCTGGCGGTGGCGAGCAGCCTTGTGATGGGCAAGGAGGGGCCCATGCTGCACGCGGGGTCTATCTTGGCGGTGATCCTGGGTGAGGGGGTGAGGGGTGGGGCGCGGCAGGGCGGGGGTGGTGGTAGCAGGCGCCGAACATGGGTCGGAGCGCCATGCTGCTGCTGCTGCTACTGCTGCTGCTGCTGCTGCTGCTGCTGCTGCTGCTGCCGCGGCCGCGGCTGCTGTTGCTGCCGCTGCGGCGGTGGCGGCGGCTGCTGCGGCGGCTGCGGCTGCGGCTTCGGATGTTGCATTGTCTGGCAGATCTGAGGCGGGCAGAAACACATACGAGACGGTCAGAATGAAATGTAAGGGCACTACAATGGCCTTTATATGGCTTCTGCTTGCTTCCCACAACACGCACAGACACACACCAACACAAACACAAAAACACACACACCGACAAAACACTCTTGCATGCACACCTCCCCCCACACGCACCCATGCACGCACACTCTTCTCTCCACGTCGTGTCACCTCTGACCATGGCCCCAGGCAGCAGCAAGTGGTTCCAGCACAAGATGGACCTGGCCATGCACTGGGGCACTTACACATACAACAGGTGTGGTTTGCAGGCCCCTCCGCAAGAAAAATCCGAGACAGGCGGTGCTGGCACTTTCCAACACCATTCACACTCTGGCTCTGGGCCCCAATCCCCACCCGCAGCCCCAGACTGCAGCCCTGAGGGGCTGCAGCCTTGTGGGCTACGAACCCCCGCGGTCCCTCTTGCCAGCCTGGCACGCAAATGTCTGTGGCGATTTGCACGAGCCCCATAATGTGGCTCTGAAAAACGAGGGGCTGCTGTCGCTCCTCGTGACGTGTGGTGATGTCAGCAAGCCCTTGCCGCGCCCTGCTGACCACAAGCCCCCCTCCCGCAGGGACATCCGCGATCTGGTGGCGTGCGGGGCCGCGTGCGGCGTGTGCACCGCGTTCAAGGCGCCGGTGGGGGGCGTGTTCTTCGCCATGGAGATGTCCACCAGGTCAGAGCGTGTGACGGCTGTGTGCGGGCGTGCAAGCCTTTGCACCCTTGCATATATGTGTTTGTGTGAGTATGTGTGTGTGTGTGTGTTTGTTGTGTGTGTGTGCACGTAGGTGTGCGGATGTGTTTGTGAAATATGGGCTTGATTTAAGGTGGCGAGGATGCTGGCACGGGCGCTGCTCGTCTGGTGGCGCTGCGCTAGGGCGCAGGCGCTGGGTGCAAATCATCACACCTGAGCGGGGGCGTTGGGACTGCTCCTCGTGCCCCGTCGTTGCTCCTCACGCCTCTGCCCCTCTTGCCGTGCGCTGCCAAGCGCCGCCAGCTGGGGCTGCCCTGCAGCGCTGTGCTGTGCCGGTGTGCTGCCTGCTGTGAATGTGTGCTCCTGCAGCCATCAGCCTGGGTGTCACAGTGCTATCTCGACCCGGCACGCGCCTGCGCTCCCCCCCCCCCCGAC